CATGAGATATGCAGCTGATCGAACTGCTTCCCCCCAAAATTTTCGTGGAACATTCATGACAAATAGGGAGGCCCGGACCATTTCGAGAATATGTCGATTTCGTCTTTCTGCTAACCTATTTTGTTGAGGTGTTCCTGCACACGATGTTTGTTGTCGAATGAAGTTTTCTTTGCAAAAAACTTGCATTTCGAGGTTGATATATTTCCCCCCCCATTTTCAGATTGTAATATCTGAATTTCCTTTCGATACTGAGATTTAACGATGTGGTGTAGTTCCTTGAATGCATAGTGTACTTCCCCCTTGGTTTTCAGAAGTGCGATCCAAATCATCCGAGTGCATTCATCAACGAAGGTTACAAAATACCGTGCACCACTAGGAGTGGGAATCCGAGCTGGACCCCATACATCGGAGTGTATGGTCATAAAAGGAGTCTAAGTTTTATTAAAACTGGGAACATACGAAATTCTTTTATTTTTTGCTAACTCACAAGTGCCACACTTAAAATCACTATCCAGTACATTCAAAAACAAATTTGGCTTAAGCTTCCTAAGGTAATTAAAGGATAGATGCCCAAGCCGGCGATGCCACATCCATGCCACGGATTGGTTTGCTTGGCTTATTCCAGTATGATGTGCTTGACTTTGATGGTTTTCTTCGAGATAGTACAATCGCCCCCGCCTAGTACCATAGCCAAGAATCCGATGTGTTGTCATATCCTGAAAGACACAATCATTTGGCCAAAAAATCACATAGCAATTAAGGGCTTCCGTAATCTGACTAACGGATAGTAAGTTAGACGATAAGGATGGAACCACTAGGACCGAATCAAGATTCATTGAGCTTGAAATTTTTACGGATCCTTCACTTGTTACAGGTGTTGTACTACCATTTGCGGTGCATATGGTTTTTTGTTCTGGGGGGAAAAACATCATTATTTTCGAGTCATTCGTCATATGGTCAGTGGCACCTGTATCAATTATCCAACCATATTGAAATGTGGTTATGGTGTGACATACCAAAGTTGGTTGACGTGTGAGCTGCTATTGGAGTGATTACTTCCTCAGATTGAGTTGAAGTTGCAACAGTTGCCTGGCTGATCTTTTTCCGTGGTTTCTTAGTGAAGTCCCACCATTCAGGATATCCGATGATCTCATAGCATCAGAGTTTTGAGTGACCTTCTTCCCCACAGTGCGTACACGTGAATGTATTCCCCTTACCATTCGATTTTTTCTCTTTTGTGTTACGATTTCGAGTGGCTATATGAACCACGCTGTCTGATTCGGTTTTTGGTTCTTCCATGGTTTGTCTTTGATTTTGATCTTTTCGGATGTAGGCATAGCATGATTCAAGATCAAGGGGCGGGTCTTTTCTCAAGACTTCGCTACTCGCTTGATTAAATTCTGGATCTAGTCCAGCTAAGAAGATGTGCACACAAAGGCGTGATAATGTTTTGTTTAGGGCGATTGTTTGAGTGACGGTGTCTTCTTGAACGGTTAGAAGGGTATCAATTTCTTGAAATATATTTACCAGTTCATTGTAGTAAGCAGATAGAGATCGTCCGTTTTGGCGGGTGTTGAAGGACCTTCGGTTCAATTCAAACAACTGAGTTTCGTCCGTTCCATCATAGAAGGTTTCCCGACCGCTTCCCAGATCTCAGCCGCCATTTGCAGGCGAATAAAGCGACGCATAAGGAGTGGGCTCATCGAGTCAATCAGCCAGCTTTTAACTCGATGATTGTCGATGAGCCATGCTTCAATCTTCTTTTCATCAGTCTTTGGTTTCGGTGTCGCTCCAGTGAGGTAACCGGATTTGTTTCGTGCTCCGATCCGCATCTCCATTAATTGCGACCACAAAGGATAGTTCTTGTCATCAAGAATGACTCCGGTGGGGAAAGGTGCGTCTTGAACATTCTGAACAATGACTTGCGAAGTATTCGATGTTTCCCCCATTGATACGAGAATTCTGAGGTTTCATTAGGGTTTCAGGTGGATGAGGTTTCGTGAGGTTTCGTCAAGATTGGAGAGGTATGCTCTCATACCAAGTAAATTCGAGAGAGAGAGATATATGGTGTATATTGTTTTTTCTATTCTTTCACCAAATAGGAGTACAAGTATTTATGCAAGGAGGTAACTAACTATCTATGGTATGGCCTTAATTCATGGATCAAGAAAAGGAAATACACAACAATCTACAACAAGGTTTACGAGTTTGGCACTTGCTAACACGGATAGGGTGACAAACCGTAAGAGAACCTTTGTTTTTATATTTGACCTTTTTTCCTTGGGTTTTACATGGGATCAATTTGCTTATATTTGTGCTCATCTTTCAGTCATGAACTGGATGCCATCTTTGTGCGAAGCGTAAATGAAGTTGAAGTGAAGCCAAAGCCAAAAGTTTACCCAAATCTTGCAACATAAAATGGGAAGAATATAGAAGAAAAGTTGGTTTGTTGATATAGTAGCAGTATGTACTGAGATTGTGGACTGCTGGCCTGATTTGAATGCATGTTGTCGTCTTGTCGTGCAAAATATCTTTGCAAAGTGATGATGGTGAAGTGCATTCAAGTTAAAGGTTGCTGCTATTAATCAAGATGTTTGATGTTTGTGTGCAATTGCTGCTGCTTCTTATAACTTGGAAAATATATATGTTTCCTCTATATGGTTTGAGAAGATGAGGAGGCTTGTGTATTTTTTTTTATTTGTTTAAAAAAATTCACTCATCACCTATTTTTTTTGTAGATCGAGTCGGAGGTGGGCCAACTGATTAATCGTTTGGTCGTTTGAATGGTTATAAATGGTCCTGTTGTAAGTCAGGAATAAGTAACCTGTGCTCCCATGACTAGGTAGAGGTGTATTTGGGTGAATAACCCAATCTAATTATGTTAACTTAGAAAAATCTAGATTCAATATAATATGTTAAAAAGTATAACTCACACTAATAGATGGAGGTTAATTTAGGGTTTTAAACATAATTACTATATAAAATAGGTGATTTTTTATGCTCTCAAAGTATTTAAGATTTTACATCAACTTGTACCTATAAATGAGACTGTGTTTGTTCTTGATGCTGCTGCTTTTGTTAAAGCATCTCCTTTGGTTCTTGGATTGAAGGTAACCCACAATTACAAAGGTTTTTATGTTGGATTATTTCCCTCCATTCCATAAATGTAGTTATCATTTGAATCATAATTGATATTGATACTCTACATTTTGGATTATAACCCTATAACTACTTCAAACTTTATAACAAAAACCAAGAATTCTTGAAGGTTTTAGCACCCATTTGATTTGCGGGATCTGGAATTGAATTCCAGTCCAACTCCACATTGGTTTAAAGGAAACTCTTTCATTGAATTTAGAAATCTCATAGGATTTGTTTACGATCGTGTTTTAGAATATATTAAAAACATTCGTTTTGTAATTTAATTAATTTTTTGTAGATTATCTTTAAATGGAATTCAATTCCATTCCAAAATCCTATGAACGGAACACATGAAAGATTCAATATCCTTCCAATTCCAAACCGTTCCACAAAATCCGAATCTCTTGAAAACGATCCGTATTAGGGTTTCTACTTCACATTGTTCACTTGTGGATTATCGAAGGTTTGCTTATGGTTTTCGTTATTTTGGTATCCCCTTTTATTGCATCTTTCTATTCCGAATCTCTTAACATGAGGTTGAAATTGCATCATTCAATAGCCAAAGCTCGTAGTAGTGTCGAATTCAGTTGCTATTGCAAATCCAAATGCACCAAATTACCCTCGCTTAGCTCAGGGGAAGATGTTGAATGAAGTTTGTTTTTCCGTCAACTTGGTGGTTTTAGTTTTTTATGGAAACAATAGCTCTACTCTTCTAGGGTAGAGATCAGGTCTACATACATCTTACTCTCTCCAGACCCTACCTTCGGGTGGGATATACTGGGATCGTTTGGTTTGGTAGTCATTGCGCAGTGTAAGTATGCATGTAGATCCTACCTTATGACATGTATTTTATGTGATCCCATACCCAAAAGGCATGTCTTAAAATACAATTTCGTGACCTCTTGACCAAATTTTATGTCCTGGTGCTTATAGTTTTCAACCTCCGATACATGCACCCTTGTTGTATGTATGTTAGATGACTATAACATGGACGAATGGATATGGAGTGGATGAAGCAAAACCTTTTGTTGAATGGGCTCGAAGAGGCGACGTTCTCCTGCTGCAGTCGTGGTGGTATTTAACCAATCTTAAGTGTCGAACTCTTGTTAATTGGATCCTCAAAAGTCATCTTTTGTTGGAAGGACCATTTTTTTCTTTTTCTGAGAAACAAGTAAATGCAGGAGCACCGGCACGAACCGTTGGTTAGCGTGATCCTGGATTCATTCATAGTGGATTCTTTAAGGAATTATGGCCCAACTCATTCTTAATATCCTCTTTGTCCCCTAAGATAAAATCAACATTTCCAAGTAGTTACAACGTTTCTAAACCCTAAACCATAACTTCCCTTCTCACATAGTCCTTGGCTTATATATACTACAATGATAAGCATTTAGACAAAAGATTAATTACAAGTTTTAAAGCATAAAATACTATCAATTTATGCAAAAGATTCAAAAATCTCTTAAGTACAAACTATTATGCATAATGTACAAATACTTAAAACATACCATTTGTTTGGTCAAAGTTTCAAATTTAAGTAAGCCATATTTACATAAAAAAGATATGTTTGTTCTTCCCAAAGTTGTTTGACACTTTATTTGTTTTCTATTTTGAAAACAAATTCAAATTCAAAGTTCTTAGTAAACTGAAATTTGAAGCAACGATATCAGAAAGGATTTCAGATCATACATGTATCCCACCCTAACCCTTCAACTTTAGATGGGTTTAGAAACTCAACATGTGTGCAATTATTTTTTCAATCGATCTTGTTAATACACCATATTAACCTTCAACTTTATATATTAGTTGACTTGTAAAATAACCATACAAACTCATGATTCAAGGCTAAACTTGGGTGGTTTTGACAAAATCTAAATATATATATAAAATCCATAGGAACCATCTTAACACATAGTAAGGTACCTTAACACGAGTAAAAACTAATAAGTTTTTAGATGTTTTACTCTACATGACTATGGTACATAGAGGTTTGCATCTACCTTGTGACCATAAAGAAGAAACCCTGGATTCATTACTTTTGTAGATCATCACATCAAGGCTGGCTAGCAACCTCCAATCCATTACCTGCAGTATGGTCAATTCGTCAAATTCAATTACTATGCAATATATATATATATATATATATATATATATATATATATAGGTAATCAAAACTCACCATCAGGATCAAAAAAGAACACTTGTTTTGTTTTCCCATTTGGTTGAGTCTTCTCATGCGTCTCGATTCCTTTCTCCTGGATTTCACCATCAAGATCACTAGTTTAAATTAAAATTATTAAACGTTCGAGTCTGTCCTAAACATTTCGTGTTAATCCTTTATTTTACCTATGTTATTTTATAAGGGAAAACCCCACGAAAACCTAACAGCTAATTAAGTCATTGGACAATCTTTTTGAACAAATAAATCCTTAGACTTTCTTAAATTGACTAAATAGATCATTTTGACCTATAAAACTTAATTGTAACGTGTTATGGGGGTGGGTAAAACTTACTTGAGGGTATACCGGCTTCTTTTTCCATTTTTTAGTTTTTTTTTTGTCAATATTCATCGGTCTTCCTAAAAGCATCAAGAACATCAAGTTAAAACCCTAAAATCTAAATAAAAATCCTACGCTGTATCAGATCTAAATCAAAAGTCTTTCTATCAAGGTTGATTTTTAATCGACTGAGAAAGTTGATCTTTGGCTTTTCTCGGATTTTCCACAATAACCAGTTTCATAGGTCAAAATGTTGTATTTACTGGAGTTTAGACGGTCCAGGGATCTGTAACATACGACTCCAAACGGATTTTAGCAGGACATATGTTCTAGCAGCATAAAATCTGCATTTCTACATTTTTCCAAGTATCGTAACATCAAGTATAGTGGACTTGTTGGTGGTCTTTCCCTGTTTTGGGTTTTCCACGTAAATCCATTGTTATCGTTCTTCTCTTTACTTTACTTTCCGTCAAGTTAATTTGTTGTGTGGTTGATCATGGTTCCTTTAAGAATTCGAATTTACAAACATGATTGAGTTCATTTTCATTTTTGGGTCTCGGGTAAATTCGACTATTTTTAATGCTCGGTTTATAGGGTAGTCTTGGGATTGTGTGGTTAATATATGCAACAGTATCTCCAAGTACAACTGTACAAGTACTGTTATGGAATCTCTCAGTAGATACCAAGAGAAATCAGAGCTAACACTAGAGGAAACAGAAAGAGAACAAGCTAGAAGATGTACGATCTATTGACACTGGATGTGACTGAAGGAAAAGGGATATACATAACACGTTGTTAGACAAACGGGGATTTTCACGATTTCGGACAATTTTTTTGTAAAAGTTTTTAGTAATCAGTTGGACGGGTTGGGTTCCAATGAAAACGAGAGTTTAGATAACAAATGCAAGAACGGATCTCCACATTTGGATGGAGATCGGCATGAAATGCACCAAATAATCTCTTTATCAAACGCGATTCATAGATGGATTTGGAATTAAAGGTGATCAACAGCCCAGATACAAATCAATTCTTAAGCTTCTCCCTTTTAACTCTCATTCTCATTCTCATGCGAAATTTCCCGTTAGTTGGATAAGCACAAAACCACAAAATTAAAAAATATATAGATAAAAGGAGCTAGTAAACAATATTGAGTGAAAAGCTATTGAAGAAGAGGAAATTAAGATAAAAATATATATATACCTTGAGGGTTTTGACGAAGGAGTCAAAATTAGAAACGGAGAAACAGAGATGATGACCCCTGTGAAGGTTGTGAGGGTCTGCGACAGCAGCGTTGGAACTCCATGGACCTTCTGGAAGCTTCGTGGAAGGATCCCTCTCGATGAGGTGGAGATAGAAAGATGGCGATTGCCTCAACCATATCACCTTGAATTCAAATTTAGGGCTTTCTATGCGTTCGAATCCAAATATCTGTATATATATCTCTTCAAATTCAAATTAAAAGCACTAGTATAGATCAATTATAAGTTGATGCTAAAAAATGATGATCACCTCTTGGTAAAACTGAGCAAGACGATCGATATCTGAGGATTCTCTCGACACATGGTTCAGTGAAACTCCTTCGGCAGCCATTAATTTCACATATAAACAAACCGATTGTATTCTTTTCTTCCTGAATATCTATATCTCTCTATATATATGTATAAATAAAAGGAGTTTTGCGTATTTTTGTGGTTTGCACAGCCATGGACGCGTGCCACTTTATTTCATAAAACCACCGTCAAACTCATTGATTTATTTGTAAAACTTATCTATCTACAAGGTGCACTTTGTAAAACTTTAAATGCTTTCTTACCTATAGTTAGGTTTCAGTGAGAACGAGAGTCCGGGTAAAAAATGCAATCAAGATTTTCATCTTTAGATATATATTAGGATGAGATATACCGGATCAATCTCTGTATCAAACGTAATTAATGGATAAGTTTAAGATTAAAGGTGATTAAGGTCCAAAGTCCTTCTTATGCTTTTCGCTAAAACTTTCTTTCTCACACGATAATTCACTTTCTTACTTATTAACTTTTTTCATATAGACATCAAGATTAATACTTAATTTTTTATGTTTCCAATATATGATTTTGATATGAAAAAGATACATGTAACATTAACTTTTTATGGTATGTTCATTAGATATCTAATATTTCTAACCGCCTATTTAGTTATGATTAATTGTATTATTATCTATGGCACCTACCTAATCAACAAATTACATTTTAATCCTCTTTTTTAGGAGGAGATGACTGATGCAAGCAAAGGAATTGAATGTCCTCAAATCCAAAGACATATTGTTGGAACCCAGAATCCTCTAATCTATCAATAATCACAACTTAGATCAATATATGAGCGGAAGCTATAACTATGATATTGAAAAGGCTAGCAGATTTGAACAAAAACTCAAATAAGAATAAAGAGTTGAACAAGTCGTCTGTTTCGATTAATTGAAGAAGGTTACAAAGAACTCTCAACAACTATCTAATACTCACAAGTATTCTCTCACAGGAGCTTATCTAAAATGTGGCAATTCGGATCTTTTGAATCCAAGGAGGAGACCTCCTTTTATATGTCATTAAAAAACATAGTCTACTATAATCTAGGCTTCAAACTCTGACTTCTTATCCAGAATCTTCATCCTTCACGTTCCTTGAAATGTGGAACCGATTCTACACACGTGTTAGATTCTGGTTGGAACACTTAGAGATGTGTTGGAAGCTCTGTGCGCAAGTCAAGGGCGGGGAGACCCAGAGGCTCTGTGTCTGGAGTGATAGCTCTGCATCAAGTTCTTAGGCTTTTGATGCTTAATACTTGATCTTCCCTTGCTTGAGCACGGGCTCTGTATGCGAGGTACTTTCTTTGTATCCGAGTAGCTTTGTCTCTTGGTGACCTTTGCATCCGAGCTCTTGGTCTAGGCAACTTTTTATACTAAGTCCTATTGACCAGAGTAAGAGGTTTATTACTTACATTTTTATGAAAAGGGTATCTAACAATCTCCTCCTAAGTGTAAATAAGGAAGACTCTTACTTGAATGCAAAATTAGTCTAGTAAAGCAAGAGGCCAACATGGTCCTCTATATTTTAATTTCTTTTCTTCAAATAAAATTACAAGTACTGAAACTGAAATTACATACTAAGAGAAATCTTCAAAAGTTTACGAAAGAGATACCTAGAGATGTTGAAATTTCATGAACCTCCTAAGAAACTCATGAAACTCCAGTACATTATCGATTGATCTGATAAGCATAGTGGCTCTCTCTTTTGTGCCATGGGTTTGATCTCTGCCTCTGTGTACGTTGTTCTTCATGAATCACAGAGTTGAGTTTGAATATTTGATGCGCTGGTCGTCTTGGAAGAACACCTTCTCCCCATGTTCGTTGCGATAGACCACCTGAGCTCTGGATCCACTATTACCGTCCATGAGGAAATGTACTTAATGCCTTCGAGTTGATCGTTGGGTTCTGTGACTCTAAGTTGATCGACCACCATGTCCAGAGAGATTTGGAAGTCTACCTTGCACCTGGAGTCGAGTAGGTCAGTCATCATTTGGCGTATGGCAGAGTTTGCAAGAGCAAACTTGATACCTTTATCCTTCTTGTGGTCTATATAGAAGTACAGATTAAGAAGATCCCAAGGGTTGAGGTTTCTAAGATTGCAGTCTGTAAAGATGTTGATCTGACCCTAGGACCATTCTACCATGTATTCGTAGAAGACGATCTGGTTGTGTGCGAAAGTTCTCTTCTTGACGTCGAGCAGCTGCTTGATCCCGTCCATGAAGTGAACTAAGCTAACGAGTTGCGTATAATGACGAAGAAACCTCTGTCGAATGTATTCTTGTGCCATTAGGTGTAAATTGATCTTCTACTTGGGCGCATCATCTCTTTGGCTGTACAAGAACGTGTAAATCTTCTCATTAGCATCGGAATCATCGATGGGCTTTTATTTAGGAATTGGCCTCATCATCGCATCCATCTGGTCCTTGATCTCTTGTACACGATCTTGGACAGGTTTGGAGCTCTGAGGCATGCTGTTGCTCGCTCTATTTTTGCTTATTTTGCTTGTTCTTGCTCTGCCTTGATGAATTGGCCTTGTTGTGGGTGGGACAACTCTGGTTCCTTGAACAGGAACTCTGGATTTGTGATTCTGGCAATGTGAAGGTGGCACGACAACAGTTATTTAAGAAGAAAGTGGTATGGTAATTGGAGGAGGCCTTCTTGTGCTGGGTTGCTCCTCCTCTGGTTCTATGATGTTCACCACCACTTCCTCTTTGTCTGCCTCTCTGGATGAAGCCGTCTCCATGAAGCACTTGGATGATGACGAGTCAAATTTGCTTGGTGAGGAGGCATATGTCGATAAGAGTTGTAATACAGAGCTTTCTCCACCAAGTGTAGGCTCTGGCTTTGTGGTCTCCATTGTCTAAGCTTGATGGGCTTGATGGGCAGGCGCAACTTGAGGCGTTTTAGTCTTGGCCGGTGCAAAGGAAGAGGGGGCAGCTGTTGATTTTTGCGCTTGCTACTTCTCCCTCTCTTGATGACTTTGAGGGCCAGATTGATCTGGGTCCTCATTGTCATCAAGCCGCCTTTTCTTGGAGCTTTCGCCACATGTAGAAGATGTCTTATGAAGCTTCTTTTTCTTGGCCGTGTAGAGTTCTATGGGAGGCATAACTTTGACCTTGGTGAATGAGCTCCACGATGCCTGCTGCCGCCTGGGTAGCCTTGGTGATCTCCACATCCGCTCGAAATTTGAAAGCGGCCAATGAGCGTCGCATTTCTGCAGCCACTTTCTTGGCCGTGTTGTTGAAATCGGATGTGAAGTCGGCCACCTTCTGAAGAAGTCGATCACCTAGAGCCATCATCTCTATCTAGGTGATGTAGTCAACTGGAACGCTAAAAGGAACGAGCACTTGATCTTGTGTGGGCGCCTGCCATGGTTGTGCGTCCTCCCTTTGCATGAGATGAATAACCCTTTGCAGGGCCTCGTGTTGGCTTGTCATCAATTCCACGAGTTGTTCCTGTTGAGAAGCATTCATTGAGGACTCAGCTCTCAATACTGAACGAGCTCATCTTGCATAGCATCAACCTAGAAGGAATCTGCCAGAGCCTCTACCACTGTTTTAGGTTCAATTTCGCTTACAAAACAAG